CTGAGCACGCTGCTGCTGCTGGGTGGGCCCCAGTCAGAGGGCTCATCCAAGGGTTAACTGCTGCTCTGCCAAGAGAACGGCTTGCTTTGATAAACACACTTCAGGATACATTTTTCTCATCTCTTCCCCATTTTGTGAACAAGCCATGAATGTATTCAGTGCCGGATGCTGTCCTCCCCACATGAAAGGCACTCTGTGAGCTGGTCTTCCATCACTATCATAATGATCCTACAGAAAAATACCTCCCCCCGCCAATATTACCAACAGAACCTTCCAGAGCACTGGATTTAACTCCCTAACTCACTTTAGCCACATACACTGAAATTAACCAAGCGTGGACTAGCTAGGGGGCTGAGATGTCTACCTTGAGATGAAGCAGCCCTGTGTGCTCACCCTCGTGTATCCTCCTCCCACAGGGCAGCCCCGTGAGAGAGGGCACTGCTCCAGCACTCGGACCGCTGGGGCTCCTTACAGCCACTTCTGCCACTTCCAGACTCCCCAATGATCCTTCACCCTCAGTGGGTCCTACATTTGCAAAAAGAAAGTATTTATTTCAATCTTACAGCTCCTTTTCAGATGTCATTGCCTACAATTAGGTTTAAAAGAAAAGAACCAGGACAGTCACCCCGGCTTGGGGGCCAAGTAAGTACTATACACTGTTTATTGCTGTTAGCCAAAGACCTATGTGCCCATGGGGGTGGCAGTGATGAATCTTAGATATGTGTACATTATATACTGTAATATAAGACTAAAACACTTAGCTTTTTTTCCCCATATCCTATTAAAATATATTCAGTGAAGGGGTCCTATTTAATTTTTTTCGATTGTGAACTTTTTCAAGTATGAAATATTTCTCAAAATAATGAGCTACTGGCTAAAACAGCACTTTACCAGCATGGTGATATATAAAATAAAGGTGGCCGCCAAGATTAATGAGATTAGTGTACGTACCTAAGTGGATCATTAATCCATCTACCCATCCAACACCATTTGTATAGCTCACCTCTCAGGTGCCAGGAACTGTGCAAGGTGCTAGGGACACAAAGATAAGTAGGGGACTGTCTCTGATCTTAATTTTGAGACACATGTAGCAGCCAAGGCAGCACAGAGGGAAGTGTCACTAAACTGCACAGGAAGACCTCACAGAGGAGTGACAGGTGACACAGAGTACACCCATCACAGCTCCATGAGCATTCTACCCACTAAACAAGGGTTAAATTGGGTTTTCCCAAACGGTTGAGAAGACAAACAATCCATCTCCACTCACTCTGCCTTCTTGGTCTCCTCTCTTGATGGAGGCAGTGTTTTCCCCCAGAGGCTTAGATTCTCCAGCACAAGGAAAATTCTCAGAGACTTCCTCCTCCCATGTGGACTTTTTGGTCAGCAAGACTTATCTCAGCCAAGATGGGAATTACAGTAATGCCACAATGTCACGAAACGCAGCAACTGGAGGGTACAAGAGTACGCAGACAGCCCCTTTCATTTTTGAAACAGGGAAACAGGTCTACAGAAATCACTTTCCCCAAGGTCAGAGGCCAAGGATTCCAAAACTACTACTGTCTACTTTAATAATTTTACATCTAACAACTAGTGCCAAGTTGTCAGAGGGAAAAAAATACATTTTTGCTTCACTTTAATTTTTTAATTATCACCTCTGGCTCCAGCTTGCCAGCCTCCAGGTGTCCTGCAACTCCTACTTCAAGGGTGTTAGCAGAATGCTTCTTGGTCTGCAGGAGTGTTTGCAGGCAGTGGAGCCTCACTGCACAGCATGAGAAGGGTAGTTTATCTCATTTACAGATGAACACATTTAGGTTTGGGGCATCAAGCAACCCTGTCCCAAATCACATGTTCAGCAAGCGGCAGCACCAGGACCCCAACCCACAACTCGTTTTGAGCCTGTGGGCTCGTCCCACCACCACAGGACAAGGTCTATAGACTAATCTAGCCCGTGCCCTCTCCTGGGGTGGGACACCAAGGCTTGGAAGCTGGCCCTGCAGAAGCTCAGGCCTGCCTGTTGCAACTCAGGGCAAATCCAGTCAACTGCACATGGATAGTTTAGCATTTAAATCAATTTTCCCATCAAGCCAGTTTTTACCTGTACTTTGTGTATCTTATCTCAGCTTTCTTACAATGGTCTGATTAAACTTAGCAAACTCCTTCAGGGCATGAGAATGTTTTTTTAAAGAGAGAGCACCTGTAAATAGTATAAAATTAAAATGCTGCAAAAGTACCCTCCCAGTTACTCTTTCCCAAGGCAACCAGTGGCATCAGTTTTTTGTGTGTTCTTAGGAAGATAGTCTATTAAATACACACACACACACAGGCACACACACAAGTAGCATATAATCGCAGTGTTCCACACTTATTTCTCCCTATTTAATACATTTCCGAGATGGTTCTACATCAGGGCATGGAGGTGTTCCATTCTTTTTAATGGCTGAGCAGGATGTAATATAATAATAATATAATTTAATAATACAATTATTTAACCAGTCCCTCATTGGCTTGTAAGTAATTTTTAATCTTTTGCTATTACACATGATGCTATAATGGATATCCTTGTACATAAATCATTTCACAAATGTGTAAGAATTATCTGTGGGATACTCAGAAGTGGAATTGCTGGTCAAAGAGTTTATGCATTTTTAATTTTGATAGATATTGCCAAATAGCTCAGCTCTCCTCAGAGGCTGAACCCTTTACATCCTCACCAGTAATGCGAGATGCCCATTTCCCCACTCTTTCCCCACTCGTGTGTCCTTGACATCTTACACAAAGCATACTGGCACATGGTACCCACTCAACAGATACACAGCAACTCTTGATACAATGTCTCCTATGTTAATTCCAGAACCATTTCAAAATCAGCCCTTCCACTATTTTTAAAGACAAGACAATAAAATTAAAGATACAGAGGAGAATAAACTGTACATACAGTCAGTTGGCCAGCAAACAGCATTTCTTTCATCTCCAGTCTACGTCCAGCCAAGCCAACCTTGGTTGGTGCCTTTGGAGCTGGCAAAACATCTGCAGGGGCAAGAAACGTACAGACCATGGTGCTCACAGACAGACAGGGCAAAGTCTCAACAGGTGAAACACTAAAGCATGACAGGCAAAATCAGCAACCCCAGCCTCTAAATGACAAGATAAACTTCAAAGAAAAAGCAAGTCCAACTAAAAACAGTACTACCATATGACCAAGCAATTCACTCCCCTCTTAGCATACATCAGAAGAAAACAAAAACAATTTGAAAAGATATATGCACTGGAATGTTCAATGCAGCACTATTTACAACAGCCAAGATATAGAAGCAACCGAGTGTCTGCCAACAGATGAACGGATAAAGATATGGTGTGTATGTGTGTATGTATACACACACACACACAAATGGAATACTACTCAGCCATAAAGAAGAATGAAATTTTGCCATTTGTAGCAACATGGATAGACCTGGAGGGTAGTACGTTTGGTGAAGTCAGTCAGACACAGAAAGACAAAATACTGTTATATTTTCACTTATGTGTGGAATCTAAAAAATAAAACAAACGAATGTAACAAAATAGAACAGGCTCATAGATACAGAGAACACACTAGTCATTACCAGTGAAGAGAGGGGAGGAGGAGGGGCAAAATAAGAGATGAGGATTAAGAGTTACAAACTACTATGCATAAAATAAGTGAGCTACAAAGGTACATTGTACAGCACAGGGAATATAACCAATATTTTAAAATAACTTTAAATGGAATATAATCTATAAAAGAAAAAGCAAGTCCAGCAAGGCTGCCCCATCTGCCAGCTTTTTAAAGACCAGGAAAAGGAATTCTGTCTAGGAATGTGTCTCTTAGGAATATGTCTGTTGGCCATTAAATTACATTAAGCACACACAACTGACTAAGGATCTTGGAGACCACAGTTCAAAGCCCACGTTTATAAATGAGGATCCCGAGGCTCAGAGATGCTAAATGGGTAACTGGCCCTAGATCTCATCTGACTGAGTGGAACCCAGGAGGGGTCATCTGGTCAACTGACACAAATCAGATTTCAAACTACACTTTCCTATTGCAATGTCTGTTCCTTAAATTCATGAAATATAAGGAATTACTTTGAAAACAGACTTGTACAAAACTGTTGTGTGGCATTCAACCCTACAGCCAAATTAACAGCCTATAAAACTCTGTTGTATGATCGAAGTCTGGGTCCTGCATTTTTCTGCAGAGAACTTTCCTTTCCCTACTCCTGAACTCTAAGCCCTGGGTGGTGTCTAAAGGCTGTGCCCATGCTCAATACAATAGGACTAAGAGCCTCCCATTTCTAAGCCCTGATTTCAGACAGGTAAGTCTCCCCTACAAAGAGCAAAAGTGGCTCTAAGTTTAAGTGGACCCCAAAGAACTCCCAAATCATGGGGTCAAGGCCGTGTACCCACATTCCAAATTTGACTGACCCATCCAAGGACTCACCAAGACCAAGTGAGAAACAGTTACAGAAACAGTTCCACATCTCCTGGGAGAAACAAAGCCCTTACACTTTGTAGTGCTTTCAGAGCACAAAACACTTCCGCTTGCATCATTTTGTCACTTGATCCTCACGCTACTCTGTGTGAAGATTAGTGACATGAAGAAACGGGTTCAGAAAGCTTCAATATCAAAGGTCCGTGGCTTATCAGCTGCATCTGCAGCAGAAGCAGCCTCTCTAAACCGGATGGCAGAGCCATAAATCAAATCACCGTTGAGTAAATCACAATGCCTCCCTTTCCTCCTCCACTCCTCAAAATAGAACTGAAATTCTGATTCGCTCTAAGGGTGCTTGCTCACTGCAGTTTGTCAGTGGCTCCTTCCTTTAACATAGTGATCACCACATCACCCAAATCTGGGTGACAGTTGTTTGTCCTCAGAGGCACCCAATCCACAGTTGGCAATCAATGTGTTAAATCAGTTTTTTTTAAATATTTTTTTGAGGGGGGAGGTAATTAGGTTTGTTTGTTTGTTTGTTTGTTTTTGATGGAAGTACCGGGGATTGAACCCAGGACCTCCTGCACACTAGGCACACACTCTACCACTGAGCTATACCTCCCCCTCTAAATCAGTTTGGCTAATAAGAAAACAGTGCTACAAATCAGGCCTGAACTTTTACCAAATGATCTCAGGCAATCTACCTAAACATTAAACACAGGAAGTGAAGCTCTCAGTCTTTTTTTCTCAAGGACAAAAGCTTTGTGTAGGTCTGATTTTAAATCTCTAGCTTTGGTAAAAGAACTTCTTAAAATATGAAAGCCAGACGTATGTAGTTTTCCAAAGTAAATGTTCACACAAATTGTGGGAATTATTTGTTCCTAATTACTATTCCTCATGGAAGTATCATTATACTGCCTGACAAAAATACATGTCAAACATGGAATCGATCACCCTGTCCCTTGGTAGGCACTGCACAAAAAATCTTTGTCCTCACTGCCTGAAAATAATTTCTTTTCAAAGGCCTTTTCTTTGGTCTGGATCTGGTGGAAGTTTTAAGTTCTTTGCAGCCCTCTTGCCCAGTGCCCACTATGCTTCAAACACCAAGTAAACCAGGACCCAAAGCAGCAGGCTATCAGATCATCAGGTTCTGGTCTCCAACTGGGACTAGGGCATGCCATTTCACAGTAACTTTTAACCTCAGTTTCTTCATCTGTGAAAGGATAGGGTTAGGTTAGGTCAACCCTAAGATCCCTCCCTCTACCTCTGGTTCTATGAAGTCAAAAATATAAGTCTGAAAACTAATTTTGAATTTTAAAACAAGTTAATTTCAGCTACCTGCAACAGATGCTCTAAAGTGGTACTGTCCAACAGAAATATAATGCAAGCCACATGTGTAATTTAAAAATCTTTCGTGGACTTAAAAACAAGTGAATTTAATTTAAACATTTATTTCACCCAATACACTAAAAAACTGTTTTAACATGTAACCAAAATTTTTAATTACTGAGATACTAGAAGTGACAAAGACACACAGCATACACAACAAATCTCTTGTGATGTGATCATATGAAATGTAGTCCCACCAGAATAGTTATATTTAATAGAAAAATCTTATCCTGCTTCTGTTTTTAAATTAAAATCACAATTCATTAAAATTAAAAATGCAGATTCTTAGTTAGACCAGCTCCCTTTCAAGTGCTCAAAGGTGACAAGTGGCTAGTGACAGTTCAGCTCTGGGGACCTACAGAGTGAGCCCTCCACACTCCTCAGTGGGGAATTTTATCCAACCAAACTCCTCTGTTTTGCAAATTGCTTCCTGAGGATACAATAGGAACATTAACCCTTCCCAAGTACACTAGGTTGTATTCATACTGTTAGCAATTATTCGCAAAAAGCTACTTCAGTGACCTGAAGGTGCTAGTATGAGTCTGGGCTACAAACAGGGCTCATAATGGCTACATGGATCACCTTAAAGTGACTGAGCCACACAAATACCAGATTATTGCAAAGGTCATCTGAAGAATGGGTAGAAGGGGCTTAAGCGATGGGAAAGTACTATGTCTTCCAACAAAGGATATGAATTAATCCTGAGTTTGGAAATTACATCTCACTTGCTTTCAGATGTACACAACATTTGAAGATGCACAGTACCCACTGTTGTGGCCAAACCCCAGGCAGCAATTTGGACCTCTTAACAAGGAAATGGTAAGTAGTAGAGACATCACAGTTCGTTCTCTGAAAAATCACTATAGGACTTTAAGGTAAATCTTTTCAATTAAATCAATAAATAAGTATGTAAAGACAATGGGTACCTGGTGAGCCTTCACATTAAGACTGGAGAATGAAAGATCACGATGCCAATGTTCTAAATCCAAGTAAAGGTAAGTACGACATAATCTAAGTCACAGCAATAATTGCCCGTTTAACTGTGCACTTCTGTGTGCTCAGCACTCTTCCAAGTGAGACAAGAAAGAAGGGGGCAGGGCCCAACCATGAAAAGAATGACCCAGCAATTAGCACCAAGATGGTGGAAGATTCAACTCCCAGTGGACCTTAAGCTTCAATATACGCTCATTAAAATACAATAGCATGCTAAAGACACTCCCACAGCTGCCAGGGCATTGTCAAGGCTGACCATAACAGGTCAAAAAGTGGGTGATGGCCCAATTCCTGGGAATCCCAGCCCCTTCCCCAAAGTAGATGGAATAATTCCTCCCACTTGCTAGCATATGAAGTTACCAAGCCCGTAAAAACTAACAACCCCCACACCTAGTGGCCCATCTTGGTTTTTTTTTCCTAGTTGACCCCATGCTGAGGCTGCCGTCTCCCTTCTGAGTTAAGATGGCCCACACTCTGTCTATGGAATGTGTGTCCTGGGCCTCTCACTCCCTTGCCTTCCAAGTGTGTATCTACTTTTACTTTAAACTAAGCACCCAACCCCGCACCTCATGGCCTTTCTCTTAACTTCTGAGACGGCCTGCACTCCGTCTATGGAGTATGTGTCTCTCTGAATAAATTTACCTTTGCTCAGCTATGGCTTGCTCTTGAATTCTTTCCTGAGAAGCCAAGGACCCTCATTTGGCAGGGCGCGTCCCTGGGACTCAACTCAGACCTGGGACACGTCCCTCCTCTCACTCCCCATTTTTGCTGCATCACAAGCATTTGTACCCATGAGCTCACATACATTCACACTCATCTGCAAGGCAGGGAGCATTATAATCCTCACCCTTCTGGAGCAAGGAAACTGAAGTACGGTGAGGTGGAAGTGATTTTGCTCGAAGAACCCCCTCTTGACAACAAGATCCCACCCAGGTTTATATTACAGAAGCACTCAAATAACAGAGACACTTACTCAGAATAACTCAGGCCTCCCCTGGTGCAGGGCCTGCTGGGGCTCCCTGCGAACATGCCGTCTGGGTGGCTCTGGCCAGTCAGGGAGAACTGAGATGTAATACCTGTCCTCACAGAACTGTTTTTCATATGGAAAAGTATGTGAACGCCCCTTAAAATACAGAGGACAAGCCGGGGGTGAGGTACCAATGCTGTTAATAAATTCAACTCCTGTTGCAGCTGTCAAATGAACACAAGACACATCCGATTGGGAGGTTTCTGGGTCTAACTACTATATGAAAAGTAGAAGGTAAGCTCCTCACTTATTTATGTATCAGACATTGCATGGGAGCCACCAAGGGCAGTAGGTGTAAAAGGTTTTCAGCTGTGTCATCTCCCTCGTGGATGTTATAGAAGATCCTTCCCTTCACCACTCTTCTTTTCATTGAAGTATAGTTGACTTACAATGTTAGTTTCTGATGTACAGCACACTGATTCAGCTATATCTATTTTTTTTCAGATTCTTTTCCATTAATGGCTATTACAAGATATTGAATATAGTTCCCTGAGCTACAGAGTAGATCCGTGTGTTTATCTATTTCATACATAGTAGTGTGTACTTGTTAATCCCAGACTCCTAATTTAGCCCTCTCCCCACTCCTTTCCCCACCACTCTACCTTTTTTAAGGCTAGAGTTACCTAGGGGTTGTTATTATAAAAGAAGTATTTCAGTCTTCAAAGACTAAAAGACGGGGTTGGGGTTGGGAAGAGGACAAGGCCACAGAGGTCAGCTCAGTTCATGTCTGGGTTCAGCCTTCCTTTAATGCACTCCCACCCTCAACTCGTTTGTACAACTCGCCTGTGGACACTGCTCCACCTCCTCCAGGATGTCCTCTGTGAGCACCTCAGTTGGAAGAGACATTTTCTCCTCTGCACTGTCACATATCACAAATGAGCTTATGTAAATACCAAGTTCCTAGAGGGCAGTAACAGACTCACCCTCACATTTGTTGAGCAATTATTAAATAAGTACCAGGCACAGTGCCAAGACACCAGAGTTACAAAAATGACTAAAAATACAGTTCCTACCCTAGAGGAAGTCGCACCTTAAGCAGAAGAGATAAAGATGTAATTTATACTCCTCATGATATGAAACATGCCCTATAATCCAGGTGTACAAAGAACAAAGGGACTGATTAATTAGGAGAGAGGGTAATTTGAGAAACAAATGTCCTTCAAGTAGGACAATATATTTGCTACATTATCTTGGAAGATTAAAACAACTTTATGTCCTGAACGTTCCCTAGGGTGTGTTAATACCCAATAAATAATTGTGGAATGAGTAAGTTGCATTCAGGCTTAGAACTCTTATTTTTTATTGTATACCTAAGGCGTGTGAGGCTAGAGTTCTAATTACTTAAGTGACAAAGGTACCATGTTTAATATAATTTATGACCCAACTACTAGCCACAGTAAAATTATTTAACTTCATTCACAGTGATAATAATACGTCAAACTATTTTTTGGGTACTCTACTAAAAACGAAATATTATACCTTAAGAACTATAAACACACACCCCTTAAAGTTAACAACAAAATTGACTTTTTGCCAAGAGCAAATGTGGCAGTATTTTCAAATATCCATTAAAGAATTTGGAACCTGGATAAGATAAGTTAGTCAATATAAATGCTGATTAAGTATATTTTCTTTGAGGGAAATAGCTAGTAATAGAAAAAGGACAGGGAAGTGGGTAACCTCACTTTCCCCTCATTCTAGACTTTGTCTCTAAAGTGGTAACCTATCACCGTAATATTTCAACCTCTTCTGTTATCCTGTAGCCTCCCTTACCGTCTCCCCTCAGTACCCAGACCTCTTCAAAGTCCCCAGTAGAAAAGGTAGTCAAGAACCAGAGACTTTTAATTCCACCTTGAAAATTAGATAAAAAAGTCTAGTTTATCTTTTTAGGACCGGTTCCTTGCAGCTATAGGCTGGAGAAATGGTAAACATCAGCAGTAACAATCACCGCGTCAAATAAAACCACTCTGCATTACAGGACCGGACACTCTGAGTAAATGATATGTACTTGGCCCCTCCAGCTTTACAGCTTTCATCGCTTTCTCTGTCCTCGCTCCCACTACCCCAGTATGAACAGGCTACAATCTGAGAAGACTGTGGGGACCTGCCTCCCTGCAAAGAACAAGGCATTCATATCCTGAGATTTCAAATTGTCTCTAGAAGTCAGTGCATCAGTTCCACTGGGGCTGGCGCCACCACCTAGGAGCAACTGG